TACTGATACTTTTTTTTGATTATTATTATTATTATTATATATAACATATATATAACATATATATATATATATATATATATATATATATATATCACATAATAAACATGCTCAATGCAAGTATGTTAGAAGTAAAAAAAAAAAGTCAGACAGTGTAGGCGGTACATATGAGCAAATTGTAGACACTTTCGCAACCTAAAGGAAAATGTCACCTATATAATTGTAAATTTTCTAATCTACTAATATTTTTTTAGAACAATATTTATTATCGTGTTATCAAGTATGCATTCTTGATTTTATCTTTTTTTATTTCAAAGATATCCTCTATCGTCTCGGATGTGTTGACATGTCGGGTAATAGAATTTCGTGACGGAAGTATTGAAGCAGACGTTGAACTTGGCTTTTCAGACCTAACTGTAGCTGGTAACGACGTTGAATCCGAACTTAGAAATGCAGCTGCCGGTGGCCTTCTTGTCACAGAAGATAATGTAACCCTCACGGTAGATCCATCGACTATCCATCTTATTGGTATGTACGAACATTATAACAATATTATGGTTTCATTCTTTAGCTTTTGAAATGTGTCAAATAGTGCAAATACATTTTCCCTCCAATTTACAACCACATTTGGGAGCTGAAAATTTGGGCTGGTCTCAGGTTTAGTCCCCAATTAGAGGTTTAGCTTTGTGTTAAAAGATTGATATGAAACTGAAGATTGATATGAAACTCGTTATTCGGGTCTTTGGAAAAGTGGTCTTCAATTAGAGAGGTCTCGGAATAAGAGGGGTCTTGAAATTAGAAAGGGGTCTCGGAAGTAGAAGGGGTCACGAATTGGAAGTTGCACTGTACTTAGAAAAAGAAATAATGTAGTCATAGGTACGGTGGCCCATAAGTGTCACTGCAAATCAAATAAAATTTCACGGCAATTCTTTTGAAAGACCACTCGGCAATTTAAAAAAAATAGGCTCACAGTGGGAGTGTGTGTCTATGCCCTGCCTTACTGTATTATATTTACTATTAAATTATTCACATGGGATTCGGTTATCAGGAAATGTGTGGTATTGTATTTTTTTCTGACTTTTGTACAGTAATAAGGTACGTAAGATGACACCATCACCCATCATGCACCTCCACCGGATTTACCCTTTCAGCCATCTTTAACTGGGCATAGACACAAAAACAGTCTCGGACAATTTAAAATTCAAGATCACGAGAACTTCAGTTAGGAAAGCTTCATGGGAAATGTACGTCACTTACTCTGAAACTCGCATGTAATGTTTAGCTTAAGACATTCACTTACTGATCTTCATGTTTATGCTTTTTCCAGGACCGTCACTCAATTTAAATTCACTTTTATAATAGTAGTCTTGAAAACAAAATTGAAACTTAAAAGTTTACAAAAATACAGAGAAATTTATATACACAATAAAGTAGTTAGCCTCAATATAGCATTATCAAAAATTCAATAAATTTGTTCATTATCAATGTTATTTTTTATAATCTTTGTATTTAAAGGCTTATCATTCCATTATAAAATAAGATTTTATTAAATAAATAGAAAAATAATAGAATAAATTGATTTTCTGTTGCGTAAACAAATGAAAGAATATTTTAAAAGGCGTTAGAAAAAATACATCTAGAAACAAATTAATAAGACATACTTTAAAAGCTCCATTTAGACATTATTAGCAGTATGAATTTGCATCAAATAATAATTTTAATAATAAATAAATCACAGATTCGTTTACAAAATCAATTTTTGTTTGATGAAAAATACATAAATGTTGTATACTAAAATATATAATTAGTCTTAACATATATTACTATCAATAACATCATAAATATTATACTATTTTCATTATCAATTCTGTTTATAAAATCAGTATTGAAAACATTATTGTCTACATTACAAATAAATTCATAATTATTAAATAAAATAAACGTAAAGAAATTACTTTCAAACAAATAGAAAATGTATTTTTTTTTAGAAATAAAATAAAATACATATAACAACAATGATAAAAGTATTACACACTAAAAATGCGTACAAAATACTGAATGCCGTATTTGCATCATATAATATAATTATTATAATATGTTTTACTATCATGAATGTTTTGCTTTTACAGGTGGTACAACGGTCCCAATGCAAACAACAGGTTCGTTTATCCGTCATTTATTCATTCACTTTTATTTCAGATTACGATACATTTATAGCAATTGTACACAATCATAATAAGAGTTGTTTATACTGTTACATTTTATATCGCATGCAGGATCATAGGTCACTTTTGGCACTTTTATATTGATTATTAATATTATAAATAATCATACAATTAGTATATTTTTAGTATTCTGAACAGTTACTGGAATTATAATGAGTTGTTTCTCTTACGAAAGTTACTACTGTATCATGTGGCTCAACCGTAATGGTCAACATAATTAATGAGCTTTATACTGGTGGTTAAGATATTTACCTACCACTCGCATGGTTGGTCACTTTTTAAAAATTTAACATCACATTTTCGTCTTACTTAAACAGACCATCATTTTCTTAACATCTCTATGCATTTGTTTTACATTATAATGTACTGTTTTGTAATAAACACTCCAATTCAGTTTTAGCTTCAATTTTATTTTTAACTCGATAACAATAATAATATCAATAATAAAGAAATAATAATAATAATAATAATAACTCTTTTATAATAAATATGTATTATTTCGACAATTCGTACATTTGTTGCAATACAAACAACAGCATTGTTTATCATTAAACAACAGTTTTACAACGATAACGTAAATATATCACACTCCACTATATTTAATATCAATATTGAACATAACTCGTTAGGAATATCCATTTTGCTATATATATATATATATATATATATATATATATATATAAATCATCAAAGAAAGGTAAATACAGTGTTCAAATAAAGGACTTAATAAATACATCGTTAGTAGTCAGATCTGTAAGCTTGATATGGAGTCTGAAGAGTATAAATGTAAACTATATAATACCTGGAATATATCGTTTTTTTTAATTTATTATAATTTTTTTTTTTCGTTTTCAGATGTCCCAGAAGGTTGGTATACAATCATCTTCCTCTTGTTGTAAAAACGATGAGATCACTCTCATCGGTACTCTTAAAGCTTGGTTTCCATTCGATCGCTACACGCTATCGCCGACAGCTTTCGATGAAGCTCGGTTTCAATAAAATCGCTCACCCTATCGGTGACAGTCGCCGACTCGGGAAGGTTAGACCTGAACCAGGTTCAACCTTTCCGTCGAATGTCGGCGAATGTCGCCGATAAGGTAAGCGATTCTATGGAAACCGATCTTCATGCTGATTGGTCGGTTGAATCGGGGAGCTTCCCCAATTGCGTCGGGGACTGCTACGCAGTACAACGATCGCACTCAAATCACTGTAGCGACAGTGTAGTGATTGTGTGGTAACCAAGCTTAAAAGGTAAAGGCAGGAGAACAACCTATAACTTGCAGCGTCATTGTGCTGAATTGCGTATGGACGTGGTCTGTGACTGCCTAGCAGCTATAAATAGGCGCTTCACAGTACTCCACAACGACAGGAGCTGAAATGAACCATAACATCGGGGTAACCCCCTACTCTACGAAATGTGCAATGGGTTCTTTCAAGTGCACACGAGCCAGATGTATTATACTATCTTATCTGAGATTAATCAGTGGACCTTTCGGTTTTAACTTAAATGACTTATTGTAAGATTGCTCGAAAGAACAACCGAAAACTGTAATGAGCCAATTCTGGGCACAAAGTCTGTTTTATATGCTTAATGGCTTTTGAGTATAAGTATTTTCCATAAAATTAAAATAATGATTCGTATGAAGGTAGACTGGCAACATACCGGTACCCAATTTCATTGGTAGAAACACGATGATTTGTGATTTTATTTTTTTGAGTGAAGATCATGCTTATAAATTCCTTATACGCCTTGACCGGGTTGTTGGCTTTTTGATAATTTAAACAGTTGCTATAGTAAGTATATTATCTTCCTTTATATATATTTTTTTATTATGCAGATGGTGGTGATAATGAAGCAACTACAGTTTTGGTCGTGGTTATTGTCGTAGCTTGCGTTTTAATATTATTCCTAATAATCAGCAGTATTGCGTGTGTTGTGTATCGAAAAAAACTTACTTACCGGGATACGCTTAACAAAAATCAATACCAGACGTATAGTGATGGAAAAGTTGTACGAAACCCCTTCCATTCCTTGCCACGCAATATGGTTACTGGATCAGATTCTATGACGTCAGAAGAAAGTATGATGTATCGCATATCTCACACGCTGAGAAATTCGCAGATGATACCAGTAGGCTTCCTTTTATTGAAATGTATTGTTAAAAACATGCTATGCTGCCGTTAAAATAATTATAGTTATTATAACATTTATTTCATTTCTTTATTTCAAATAATATCCACAAATCACAGTAAATAGTATATTGCTTGGGATTAACAAATTGAATATGTAAAATTCCCAACATTAACATTCCCAACGACATTAAAAAACAAATCAATACAAAGATTACAGAGAAAAAATATTTACAAATTTTACAAAATGTTATATTTATTTAAAAAAAATCATGGATTAATAATAAATAGCAAAAGTTAGTGGAATTAAAATTAGAAAATAAAATATGTATAAATTTCAAATAATGAAATAGAATGTTGGATACGAAAAAATAAATTATAAAATAGTTACAAATTTCGGATAAAAAAATATCATGTTGAATAAATTAAGGATAAAATTAAGATTAAAAACCATTAAATATGATATAAGAAAATGAAAAAAAAAAACAAAAAAACCGAATAACAAAATGAAAAGAGTAATTAGACCAAAAAATGCAAGTGAAAATAAAGTTTGCAATCAAGCAGATTTTGCAAGCAAAAAAAATCATACACTGTTAGAATAGCCTCGCTTATGAAAGGGTATGTTCTTAATTTAGGATTGTGTGGTGCATTCAGTAACCACTTCAAACTCTAGTAAGATATGGAATTGCCTACTATAAATAAAATATTGTTTGAATTTCTAACTTCATTACACCTTTCCAATTGTTTTCAATTGTCTTTTTAATTATTGATTTGTTGTACAAAATGTTTGTTATCAACTTTTTTTCTTTTTGTTTCTTTTTTTTCTAATATTATTATTAATGCCGTTGAATATATTGATTTGTGATATGATCATTATTTATATTCATTTTCCAGGAGAGGGAGAGTAATTTCACTCTCGGTACAGATGAATTTGTGAGACCATACATGGCCGATGGAAGCGAGGAAATGTCGGTAAGATTTGTTTCAGCCACTTCTATTCAAATATATCTAAAGGTTTACATGTATATTTCTTCAAAGAAGAATATAAATGTAATTTCAATAAAATAGATTGGCCCACGTCCTAGGGTTGCTGCCTTTGAACTACAAAAAAATATTTGTATAATCTAAGGCAAATTAATGGAATAAGTATAATTGATAGGCCTAACTATATTTTGTATACACCATTTTATCGGGTCTATTTTGAAACAGCGCCACCAACATCAATTTCGCACTTGCTACATTAGTAGCGAAAATAATGATGATGGTGGTGATGAAAATTGCGTTTACGATGACGTGGTAATGAGAATGTACTATACACGTGAAATAGCCTCACACATCACATCGTTCTTGAAATAAGGAAGTCGAGTGAGACAATAGCGTAACCAGATCATTATATGTTAAAAAGAGAACACGGATTACACAGATGTTAACATACAGTATATGCATTGTAGGTAAAGTTCGGGTTTGTCTTTTTTTGTTTGAAACGCTGTACCTTAACAACTTAAACAACTACAATTTCATAAGAAATACATGTGTTGAGACTGAAAGTTCAACATGGAATGTAATTGAACACCATTCCAGACGAGCTTTTACTCTAAATTGAATAACTTTATAAACAATGTGTTCATCGTTCCAGGGCAACGATGGATACCGCCAGGAATATTATTGAGCTTACAGTTAGTCAGGAAGGTAAACAGACGTTCCTTATTTTACATTTAAAGCCATGCTCCGGAGGAAAAATGTTTTTGGATACATTGTACCACTGACGTTTCTAAGACACAAAAAACAAGAGCATATTTTACAAAAAAAAAAAACTCGGGAACATTTAATGAGACACATATTTTTGGATATTTAAAAACTGGGGCAAAGAGTGAAAAAATGGTGGTTACACCCCCTTTTCTACCAGTGTTTATATATTCAAATATATGTATATCATTCCCGAGTTTTTCTTCGAATATGCTTTTTTTGTTTTAGAAAAATCAGTTGTACAACATATTAAAAATTTATTTTTCCTTCGGAGCCTGGCAAAAAAAAAAAAAAAAAAAAAAAAAAAAAACAAAAAAAAAATAAGAGACAGAAGTTGGACAACGCAATGAAAAATAAATATAGCTCGCTGCTCATTTCCAATATATGGTTGTATTTCAACAATGTAATATTTTTCTATCGATAATAGTATATGGGTTTATCGAATGCTGTCGGAACTTGTTAAGATACTGAATGCCACTGTCGAATAAGCACCAAGGTGCTTATCAGATATTTTTAAAAAGAGTCACAGCAATTACACAGGAGTAAATATCACACTACATTCCTCAATATTTCATATCATTGAGACTCTAAAAATCTCGATGACTTTTTTGAAAGATACATATGTGCCATTTTTCAAAGATATAAAAGTAGGCCAAACATTGGAAAAAACTTGCGATGTTTAGTGCCACTTTCGATTTTTGTAATGCAGTGGCTATTAACAACCACATCATAACACCAGAAAGAAAATACGAGAAAATATTACATTACAGAAGAAATTATCATTGATGGTTTCGTAGGGGTTTTGGTGTGGATTGGTAGAGTACTGTAGTAGAGAGGTAGTTGGAATGCTAATAGCAGTAGTAGCAGCAGCAGTAATAGCAACAGCAGTAACAATATCAGCAGTAGTAGCAACAGCAGTAGCGGCAGCAGCAGTAGCAGTAGTAGTAGTAGTAGTAGCAATAGCAGCAGTAGCAGTAACGACAGGACTAAAATACTACAATCAATACTTATTTTTTTATCTATATATTTTACAGATGATGTGATCAGAGGAAGAATAACAACATAACGTTCAGACAACCGTAGACCCGTATATTATAACTTTAGAATACGTGATTTACTCAGTAGTTGAATATTGTAGAATTTTTCTTTTTAACTAATATTGGAGATATTATCACATCTAATCTATAGTATATTCATGTGTCATTCGATTTCTCACTTTTATTACAGTACTATGCTTGTAAGGAATATTTTATGAGATATGTATAGAAAGTGATGTCATCATTTTTAGCGTCTGTGTATTTGCATAAGACAAGCTTTGTGGCACATGATTTTCATTGAAAATTTTAAAGCTCTTGGTCAATTTATGTTTCTTTTCTCAATAGTTTGCACTATTTTTCTACATCTTCTGTACTTTTTAAAACCATGAAGGCGCATTATGCAAAGTAAATATTTTCATATTTCTATTAAAATTCGAAGCATTATTTCATTAGAATTTTTATTTGAAAGAATATTTAAACCAATTTTTTGTTGTCTTGACACTTAAAATTGGTATTGGTATAAGACTATTAATTGAGCCGTTTTCATTCTTTTTGGTTATGTTCAATGTGGATTTTATGGAATACGCTAATCCTGTCAACTTTGGCCATTAGTCAAAGATTTATTTATTTTCTTTTTCCTGTGAAGAAGTTCACATGGGTCTTCATTCATAATTTACAAATCCTTATTTTGTACTGTTTTGCATTATAGCAGAATGATCATTTTATAACAATATTTGATCATTCATTGATGGCACTACTGTATGGAAATATATACATGCTTTGTTGTTTTAATTCATTTTGTTGATTTTGTATCATATATTTGCTTAAAAATTTACTTAATAATTCGGTTTTAGGTGTATTAAACTAAATTGTTAAACTCTTATCGTCGTTATAATTGCTTGCCATATCCTCCTTTAAGGGATCAATTTTACAATAATTGTGTCAATGCATTTGATTGAAACTATTTTTATCTCAAAGGTGTCTCTGTAAAAGTATTACTTTTAGGTACACATTTTTTATTCGAGAATTTTTTTTAAGACGATGAATAATTTGAATGGTTGGGCATGAACTTTTTAAATCATGTTGTAGGCAATTTACTTTTACAAAAAAAGAAAAAAAATAGAAACATATTTATATACCGGTAATTATATATAACTAATTTTTTAATGTTGCATTACCGTAGATAACCACCAGTTTTCTCAATGATTCGAACTACAATAATCAACTATTGTTCTAAATATTATAGAGTACACCACATATATCCATCAATCTAAACTGTCGTGTTATATACTCATAATAACCGCATATTATAGAATATACCTTGTCTCAATCATAAAATATAGGCTACTATACATTATTTCGTATCAATGTATATATATATATATATATATATATATATAAAACTAAATTGTTAAACTCTTATCGTCGTTATAATTGCTTGCCATATCCTCCTTTAAGGGATCAATTTTACAATAATTGTGTCAATGGATTTGATTGAAACTATTTTTATCTCAAAGGTGTCTCTGTAAAAGTATTTTACTTTTAGGTACACATTTTTTATTCGAGAATTTTTTTTAAGACGATGAATAATTTGAATGGTTGGGCATGAACTTTTTAAATCATGTTGTAGGCAATTTACTTTTACAAAAAAAGAAAAAAAATAGAAACATATTTATATACCGGTAATTATATATAACTAATTTTTTAATGTTGCATTACCGTAGATAATCACCAGTTTTCTCAATGATTCGAACTACAATAATCAACTATTGTTCTAAATATTATAGAGTACACCACATATATCCATCAATCTAAACTGTCGTGTTATATACTCATAATAACCGCATATTATAGAATATACCTTGTCTCAATCATAAAATATAGGCTACTATACATTATTTCGTATCAATGTGAATAAATGATATATATATATATATATATATATATGTGTATATATATATATAATATATATATATATATATGCAGTATCTAATGCAGTATTATATTACTCTGTGAGTTATAGAATATGTTTGTAATCTCGTTTTTACTATTTTTCTAAAATAAAGTTAAATTTTCAAATAGATTTAGTGTTTGTCTCTGATTCAGAATCCATTTGAAGAGAGCCGCAAAATATTCAGTGTACTCAACTGACTTTTGTGTACAAGAACCGACATCCTATTTCGAAACGAGCAGTGATGGCGCCAGGACCTGTCCTATGGAGGGGCTAAAGTCCCCGAAGGGGGCCTAGTGGAGTGAATCCAGCGGGGTTCCAGAGGGAGAATCCTCCTGGAAGCCACGGTTATTTGACGAATTATGGCGAAATTTTATTATTTTTATATTCATCGAGTTACTATAATATGATTTCATGTAGGCTATGTTTTCTAATGTCGAAATCAGCTTCCAAAACCAAAACATTTTGAATAAAACAAGAAACAAAGAGTATGCAATGTAACCATCTAATTTATTTTTAAATCGTCATTTTTGAAAGTGAAATTCTATATTTTGGAAATTTTGCATGAAATCTGTCAACCGCGCTGTCATGGTCGAGGTTGCTCATGAGGCTATCCAAAACGAGCATTTACTCATAACAAAACGCAAATTGTTTTTAAATAATCTCATTGAACTATTATTATCATTATTATTATTATTATTATTATTATTATTATTATTATTATTATTATTATTATTATTATTATTATTGCTGCTGTATTGAGTAAAGAAATTGAACAGTGGCAGATTCAAGGGGAACCCAGTTAGCACGGGACCCAATGATCTTATTCTTTTTTCAAAATCATGAAAAAAAAATTGGCGAAAACAGACAAAATTGTATTCAACTTTTAATCTGAGAGTGCCATTTCTGGCCATCTAGAGGTGCCATAATCATAATTGTTTTTTAGCCCCACAACAGTTGTGGGGCTGAGGCGGGTGAGCTATTTGCGGAAGACCCTCCTTGGAACCCCTCTATTTCGACTTGCTGGACCCGCCACAGTTGGAGTATCATTTCCGGGATGACAAATATAGCAGAATGAATAAAGTAAATGACTTAGAAAGCAATGTGAGGGTTACAGTATAGATTTAAGTGGCGGAATCAGGGGAGGAGGACTGCCCAGGACCCCTTTCCTTAATTTTGCAAAATAAAAAAAAATGGAGAAAAAAAAAATAATTGTATTCAAATTTAAGTCTCACAGTGATATTTCTGGTCATCTAGAGTTGCCATAATCATACATTTTATATCTCAACCCCAACCTGGTGGGACTGAGATGGTCTACATCCTCTATCTGTGAAAGCCCCTCTCTGGGCCCCCTTTATTTTAATTTTAATTCCTGGATCCACCACTGCACTGTACTGGATTTGAATCTATATGAAATGACACCGAAGAAAAAAAATAAATCCCATATTTAAGAGTCAATCCCAGTCAATTCGTATATGTACGCAGTACGCAGAAAAAAAATCCAATCAGTTTTATCATCAAGGTAAAACACTGAGCCTCTACCGATACCCATAATGATCAAGAAAAAAGTTCACTTATATTGTTATGTTGAGTAAAACACTGATGACCAAATCAGTGGTGGTGCCAGTGGAGTCTGGGTGGCTACATCCCCCTCCCCTGTCAAGTGGAGCTCCCCACACGGGGAGAAAAAAAAACGAAATTTGAGGGAAAAAAAAACTTACGAGGTGTGAGACTCGTTTAAAGCCTTTCAAATCTCTAAATTGTCAGAGTCCCTTTTAGGCCACTTGTCGGTCATGGGATCATCATCCCCTTATTATTATTATTATTATTATTGTTATTGTTATTGTTATTGTTATTGTTATTGTTATTGTTATTGTTATTGTTATTATTATTATTATTATTATTATTATTAATATTAATATAAATATTATCATTATCACTATCACTATCACTATCACTATCACTATCACCACCACCACCATTATCATTATCATTATCATTATTATTATTATTATTATTATTATAAAAAAAATACTTATAATGGTCACATTATTAAGAAGACACAACAATAATTGTTACTTAACCAATATCCTGAGGCGCGTGGAACGGAGAGAGTAGAGAAAACAGTAGAACTTATACATACTGTTTGTGGTGCTGAACTAATAATAATAATTCAAATAATAAAACATTAAATAGTTAAACCGTTATTAAATTTTTAATTATTGGTCATGTTGTAACTTCAGCCGTTGTCTTTCAAACCATTTAAATTATCGTAGCAAAAAGTATAAAAACTAACTTGTGTTTTTAATGAAAGTTAATCACTTGTAAATTATAAATGCTTGAAAATGTGTAGTTCAATGGTTTGATTGAATGTGTGTGGAATGGGAATTGAATATATGGCGTAGACCTATGTTTAAGAAAAAAATACAAAGTATAGGCCTATGTAGGCCTAAAAAAAAACAAAGGTTACTTTGTATTTGGTCACGGAGGGCTATATCTGAGGATTTTTCAAATGAAAGATAGGGGGTAGCTAGCTACCCTATTCTCCCTTCTCCCTCCATGACTGGATCCGCCAATGATCGCGCACACAGCAAATCTATTATATTATAGATGTATCGAGTTTAAGTGGATGGTGGCTCGTTTATTGCTCGTCCCGGTAGAGTCGGTGTCAGTATCAGATTGACTGCAATACAATAAACTCCTACTTGTTTAACTTTGTATACCACAAATTGTAGTTGTGGTCAGCGAATGTCCTTATAATTATCTAAAAGTATTTACACTGAAGAGTTATCCTTTACCACAAACCACAGAAAGCCGTTGAGTTCAGCCAGACTAACATTCATATAAGCTTATTTGGAATATGAACTGGAATCTGGGGAATTCATGTTGCAATATCGCACATGATCTTAAATCGGCTAATACTATACAATTTAATTTTGTTTTTAGTGTATTTTAATATTTAAAGGCCTGGTCATCTCCAATGAGTATGGACTATTCCATTGTTAATCATGCCGTGTTGCCCTTGTCGTCCGCAAAAAAATTAACACAACAATTAAGTTTGCTTTTCGTTTATCCTGTCACCGACAGTAGGGATGCTTTGGTTTTATTTTGTTTTTGTAATTGCTTGAAAAATAAATAAAATGAAATGAAAAAATACTGTTTGCTCTCCTTATTCCTACAGATGGTATGTTTATTCATCATGAGAAAAGAACTTTTCACAAATTATTGCCCTGGAATGGGAAAAGGAAACCGAATAATTAACGAAGTAAGCAACGATCAAACAAAATTGAACTTAAGAAAAACCAACATACTTTTTAATGTGATTACAGGATATACATATCGTATGTAGATTTCTGTTGCATATCAAGTCATATTAATAGTGATTCTATGTTTAGAATTATCAAATTGTAGGCCTAGGCCTAAGTAGACCAAGTCCCGTTGCAAGTGTCAGCTGTCTCTTATACA